TTTGACTTTGATTACTCTGGAAGAGAGAGTTAAGATGATTTTGTGCAGCTCTGCTTTGGTTAAATCCAATTCATGTACAAATCAAGGAAGATATCACCCCCATCTACTATTTTATCTTTTATTATTTAACAATTTTATTATTTTACTATTTTATTATCTTTACCTTGAAGTTTTGGGGTGATGGGCAAGTGATGAAGCAGCAGGTATAGTTACACTGGGAACTGTAGTCACAACCCTGCACACAGGCAACCCAAGGAATAGAGTCACCTTCTTACTGGACTGAAGCAGCAGTATGATTTATTAACCTGCTGAATAGCTGAGCAGTTTTTTTTTTTAAAGATCTGTACTGCTCACCTCCTGGCTTGAGAAAGGGGCTAGAGAAGGTGCCCTAAAAATTGTCTGCTTCACCCAACCCTTGCCTGCTTACTGTGGCAGGTAGAAATCCCACCCTGTGGTTAACACACACACCACACACACACACACACACACACACACACACACAAAACTGCAAAAAAACTTTCATGAAGATGATTCTACTCACCAATAGTACATGAAATGTGTATACTCTCATGGACAACAGAAATGCAGTAGACCTGAAAGATGAATAGCTCTTGTGAGAGAATTCAGTGGGTGCTGTTATTTATCTCTCATTCTTGTCCAACTCTTTGTGACATCATTTGGGGTTTTCTTGGCAAAGATACTGGAGTGGTTTGCCATTTTATTCTCCAGCTCATTTTATAGAAGAGGAAACTGAGGCAAATAGGGTTAAGCAACTTTCCCAGGGTCACATAGCTGGTAAGTATCTGAGGCTGGATTTGAACTCAGGAAGAGGAGTCTTCTTGACTCGAAGGCTGGCACTCTATCCTTTGTGTCACCTAGGTACTGCATCCAAATAACAGCCCAAAGTGAAATAAGGCTAGAAAACGAAGGACAGCTTACTGAAGTCAGAGCTGGATACATGAAGTAGCCTTCTGTGATAATCAGTAACATGAAGCTGGTGTTAGGTTTTGCAATCAGATCTAATCTAGTCAGCAAGCTTCTATGTCTCCCAAAAAGAGTGAAGGACAGGCTTATGGCAATGTGACTTCCACTTACAGGAAAGTGCCATGCCACTATCATCAGTATGTATGCTTTCACCGTGTCAAACTCTTATGAGGTCAAAGAAAAATTTTTATCAAGACCTGGAGACTCTTATCATTGATGTGTCAAAAGACGGCAAACTTGTAATTCCGGGTGTAGGCACAGACTAACAGACATGGCAGGGAGTCCTTGGGAGGAATGGAGTCAGAAATAGCAACAGCTGAAGACTTGTGTGACCTTCATATCAGCAACACCATCTTCCATTTACATAAATGCAACTAAACTTCATGGATTATGCCCTTACGGCAAGCACTAACATTTATACTACATCATTGAAAGGAGAAGAGATAGGCAGGATGAGAGCCTGCTGAAGGTGTTGTATGGTACAGAGTGCTGGACCAATCATAGACTTATCCTCTCTATGCTAAACATTTTCATTCAGCAAAAGTGGAGGCTCCAAGGCAAGACAACTGTCAGCACACTCAATGTCAACAGATTAGAATGCTTTTCCTAGCATGAATAATTCATTGCTGACAGGGAAAAGCTAAGTCAACACACAATCAGCAACAGTGGAACAGAAAAGGAGTTGGCAGCTTTCACAGACTTGATGTACAGCACCACATTTGCTCATATGGGCCAGAGCACTTGCAAACATTATGATTGGTTTGATAAAAATGATGGGTAAATTCAGCAGCTGCTAAATGAAAAACAAGGACTCCATAGGGCTTGACAGCAAGATAGTTTGTCTGTCTCTGAGAAGGCAATCTTTAACTCCATCAAAAGTAAAGTGCAAGTGAAGCTTAGAGAGATGTGTGATTCTTGGCTCAGTAAAAAGGTAAAAGATTCAGTTTTATGCTAACAGCAACAATTCAAAGTGCTTCTATGATGCCCTGAAGACTTTTTATGGGCCAGATCTCTGTCTCAACTACTTGGTGCTGAAGGAGCTACGCTGATCAGTGATAAGGACGTGATGCTGGAGAGGTGGGTTGAACTTTTCCATAGTGATCTCATTAGATTGTCATTAACCAATGCTAAAGCCATTGACCATACACCTCAGGTTGAAGTCAATCCCTCTCCAACTGAACTTTCAAATGAAGAAGAGGTATTGAATGCCATTAGGCTCCTCTCATGCAGCAAAGTGCTTGGTTTTGATTCCATCCCATTAGAGATCTACAAGGCAGGGTGGTCCCCTGCTCATATAGAAACTGACTGAAATCTTCCAGGTTATATAGCAAGAGGAGGTTATTCCCCAGGAGGTCAAAGTTGCCTCCATTGTCCATCTCTATAAAGAAAAAAGGAAATGGATTGTCCTGTGACAATCACAAGGGGCCTCTCTCAGTCATCACTAGCAAGATTCTTGCCAGAATCTTCCTTAATAGGCAGATCAATCCTTCACCTGGATGATGGTCATTTAACCAAGAGCCAGTGCAGCTTCAAAAAGCACCGAAGAATGGTAGACGTGGTGTTTGCTTCCTGACAACTCCAGGAGAAATGCCAGAAGCATAAAAGAGATCTGTACACAATGTTTGTTAATCTGACCAAGGCCTTTAATATGTCAATTGTGAAGACTTATGGAAGAGCATGGTGAAAACTGATTGCCTGGAGAAGTGTATCACTGTTGTATGCCAGTTTCATGATGACATGCTTGCACAGGTTCTGGATAAAGGACTATGTTCTCATACTTTCCCAGCCACCAGCAGAATGAAGCATGGCTCTGTGCTTGCTCCTGTGCTTTTTAGCATGATATTTACCATGGTGTTGTCAGACACCTTCAACGAGGACCAAAACAGAATCAAGGTCAGCTACTGCATTGATGGTAAACTATTTAACTTGAAAAGGCTAAAAGCCAAGACTAAAGTGGAGGTTGTTGCATGACTTTTTGTTTGCAGATGATTGTGCACTCAGTGAAGCCTCTATGGCTGAGACGTGACAGAATATAGATTGATTCCTTGCCATTTGTGCTAATTTTGGCCTGACAACCAATACCAAGAAAACAAAACTTCTCCAATAGCCAGAACTGCCCTATCTGTACATGGAACCACTGGTTACAGCAAATGGAGAAATTTTGAATGCCATGGATAAGTTCACTTACCTTGGCAGTATGCTTTCTAGGGATGTCCACATAGATGATGAGGTTTATACACACATTATCATAGATAGCTCAGTGTTTGGGACAGGCTCTGAAAGAAAGTATGAGATAGAAGAGGTATTAGGCTGCATACCAAACTGAAGATCTACAGAGCCTTTGTGCTGACTTCATTGTTTTATGTCTTTCAAACCCAGACAGTCTACTAGCACCATGGTATAAAATTGAACCCCTTTCATCTGAATTGTCTTGGGAAGATTCCGAAGAGTACCAGGCAGGAAAAGGTACCAGATGCTGAGGTTCTCTCTGGAGCTGAACTGTGAAGCACTCAAATTCTAATGCAGAGGATACAACTCTGACAGGCTGGCCATGTAACTCATATGTCAAACATACATTTACCTAAAACACTATTTTATAGAGAACTTGCATAAGGCTAGCACTTTCACAGAGGTCAGAAAAAGTGGTACAAGGACAAGGTGTCTCTGAAGAACTTTAGTATTGATTGTGAGACATGGGAGATGCTGGCACAGGACTGCCAATATAGTGTGTCCACCTCAAAGAAGGTCCTGTGCTCTGTGAGCAAAGCAGAATCACAGTAGCATAAATGAAACATGAGATACACAAATCTAGAGACATCTTCATCCCAAATGTTGAAATGAACAATTTGTGTCTGATCTATGGTAGACTCTTCTGAGCGTGTATTGGACTGAGCAGCCACAGTTGAACACATTGTACCTTAACCCAAATATTTTGATGTCCTTGGTCCTCTTTCAGTATGAAGGATGAACAATAACATATGGAAATGTGTTATGCATGATTGCATATGTATAATCTATATCTAATTGTTTGCCTTCTAAGGGAGGGAGGAAGGGAAGAAGAGAATTTGGAATTAAAAATTTATTTAAAATTATTTAAAATTGTTTTTACTTGTAAGTAGAAAAAAATAAAATATTAAAAGTTAAAAAAGAGAAACAACTATGATAGCAAAAGGAAATATCTAAAAAACATTTAAAAGATACAGTGAATAAGGAAAAATTGATTGGTTTAATAAAACATAGATCCTAAAATTTCATTTCATTCTAGTCTAGGTTTGGGCTTGAGGGTCAGGAGGACTAATATATTCATACCACTGCTTTCATTTCCTTATTCTGTGCCTCATTTTCATTTTTTTTTATTCAGTACATCTATTTTACCAATAGGCTGTATTTGCCTTGCTGAGGATTTCAGACTCTAGTTCTTAGTTCACTTTGTTATGGATTCTCACTGCCTTAAATAAATAGTTTCATATTTAGAGGTAGTGACTTAGAATCATTTATGTAACCCCATGCCTTTCCTTCCACCATTCCACATACCCAGTGACCCAAATCAGTACAAAAGTCATTTAGACTAGGATACACATACCCCAAAACAACCTTCTTGGTGCAATCTTCAGCATTTGTCCTTCTGGCACTACATTCCCCTTCAGTACAGAGTTATTTAGGTAGGTCAGTTCACCTGTGTTGGTCCTGGAGCACCAATAGGATGTTTTTGAAAATCAGAGCCCCCAGTTATGATGATAATCAGCTCTGCAACTCCAGACTGTTGCTGCTCCCTGCATGCAGTGCTGGGTGTTTAATTCACATTGCATAGTAATTTTTACAAGATGAGGTCCCTGGAGATATTTTACAATACAGGACATTTCACAACAGCTTATTGCTTTTCTCATCAGCTTCTAAGTCTGCTTATAAATTCCGCATGGGCTCCTCTGGTCCCACAGGATAGCTTTTTTTTAATACTAAAAAAAAAATCCACTTGATAAACACGACTTCATCCATTTACCATTCCTATTATCCAGTATGCAGGAAAGGTCATGGAAAGGCAGTTTAATTATTGCGTATGCAGCGATGCACCCAGCCCACATTCCCAACAAACGGATGGATTTTGGTTCAGTCTAAAGGGGACTCCTGAGCCCAAGGTAATGCAGTGAAGCATTGGTAAGCAGGGTCATTTTTCATTATCTTCTCATAGCTGGTCAATGTTTTTCTGTAAGTGTGCAAAATTGCATGATCTTCTTACTCCAGGGTTCTTGTGCTCTTGCAAAGCAATTGATTGCTATAAATAGGAGCCATTATGGTATAACTCGATTTCGAATTCTGCCTTGTGACCATGTGACCATAGGTAAGTGACTTAACTTCTTTCAGCCTCAGTTAACTCATCTGTAAAATAAGCATAAGCATCTAACATATATATGTACATATACATACACACACACACACACACACACACACACACACACACACACAACACACACATATATATATATATATATACACTATACTAAAATAAGTATCTACTTCACAGGGTTGTTGTGAGGATCAAATGAGGTGAGGATCAAATGAGATAATATGTATAGAAGACCTTTGCAAACCTGAAGGTGCCATGTAAGTGCTAGATAGCTGTTGTTACAACAGGAAGAGCTCTAGATTTAGGGTTGAGGGTAGGGTGGGGGCCTACTTCCAAATTTTGGCTCAGCTATTCACTAGTAGCACTCACTAGTGGTAGACCCAATTGACCAGGATCAAATAATTCAATCTCTTCAGGCCTTAATTCCTTACCTGTAAAATGAGAGGATTGGAGAAGAGGACCTTCAAAGTCCTTCCCAACTCTAAACTTCTGATCCTGTCATGTATTATAGATAGAAGGCAGCAAATAAATATCTTCTCAGCACTTTCTTGCTGATAATCAGGGTGGGCTCTAACTACAGGTGGAAGAGGTGGTCCCATATCAAGCATGCCTTCAAGGGCTTTGGGAAGAGCCCTGATCTCTCTATTACCTCCAGGTTAATTCCTATGATTTCTTTAACTGGAGAAAAACCCAGACCCTTTCATTCCACAATTAAGGATAAAGTTCTCCTCAAGATTCTGGTCAAGTCATTCAACTTTTTGTGAGCTGAGTTTTCCTCATTTGTAAAATGAGTATTATAATACCTGTAAGTACTTGAGGATCAAATGAAATAATTTATGCAAAGTGTTCTGCAAACCTTAAGTGCTAGTTGTTAATACATAAATCCCCTACCTTATAGTCCTGGAGCCTAGTGATATAATTATAGAAGGTGTAAATAATTTATAACAGAACTTTTTTGGTGAGTTTTTATTTTTAACAGAGGAAAAAGGGAGAGGGTATTGGGTGGACCAGAAATGCAGGGTCTAATTGCAATCTGTCAAGGTAAAAAGAAACTAGATTGGAACACAGAAAGGGGAAACTGAGAACACCCAAAGCAAATCTTACCTTCATCACAATAGTGCCACAAGCAAGTCCTATTAATTTCAATAGTAAATGTTACCTCTCACTTATATGCTTGACCTTGGCCTATACTCAGCAGGGGCCTAGACAATCCCCTCTCAGTTTACTCTGTAACAACTATTGGAAAGACCATTGTCAGGCAAGGTCACCATGAATCTTATGCTGCAATTAGCTGCAAACTAAACTAGATGCTTAAAGAAATCATACATTATTCCACTCCAGTGACTAGAGTTGCATATATTTCAGTCTCTCCCCTGCTGGCTAACCCATGCTTAAAAAATCAAAACCAAGCTCATATCCTCTGAGTAAAAGGCATTGCCTTTTGTAGTTCCCCTGGCTGTAGTCAAGTCAGTGATGTTAATTAATTATGCCCCACAATTCACTAGTTATCCTAAACCCCCATGGATTTAGACCAATGAGGAAACACGATCTGTCAGATTCAAACTATGAAGCAGATGAATCGAAACTGTAGGGAGAAATACAGACCCTTCCATTTAAGATAGGCCTGTATATTATAGGAAAACATCCCAGTGGCATTAGGTATGGCAATCTCTTTCATTACTATCACCTTTCATTATGTGATTCTCAGGATAAAGTGGAGATCAGATAGTTAAATTTGCATTACTCCTCAGGCTCAGGGCTGGAGATAATATTTGTAAAGAGCTTAGTACAGTGCCTGGGACATAGTAGGTGTTAATAAATGCTCCTTCCCTCTCCCCTTCCTGCCTCTGTCCCTCCAACCCCCCCACACAATAGAAATTAGCCCAGGCCAAAAAGAAATCAGACAATAAGCAAGGGTCATTATTAATAAAGACTGAAAATCCAGCATATAGGTATGGCATGATGCTTCAACTTCCTGTCTAGACTCCTGTCACAGTTTCCTAATTGGACTCCCTGCTTTCAGTGTGTATTTTTTTTCCTGTTAGAACCACATGTGGGTGGGGAATGACAGACAACATAACAGTGAGAAAGGAACTGTTTCTCAGCATTACCCTGCCAGGTTCCCAACCCTAGCTATACTTCATGTCTTTCAGAAAGTTCCTTTAGTTTAGACATTTGTACAGTTTCTTTCTTTTTTCTTTTTTTTGACCATGGCCTTTTTATATTCCACTCATTTCCTCCTTCCATCCATTTCCTCTTCTGGCTTTTTCTTTAGACAACACCTCACTCTATTTGTTATCTCGTTATTCTGTTTTCACCCAGGGAGCTTCTCTCACCTTACCCACATTCACTGAAAACACAGTGTCTCCAAGCCCCAACACAGCCTTCTGGCCTCAGTGAACTCAGATTTCCCCATAAGCTGTAGAACTCCTTACCTGTTCCTGTTACTTCCCATTCATGCTGTTCCTTCGGCTCTTATTTTGGCTCCTTTAATTGTCTCCACAGAACAGAAAAGATTTTTAGTACTATTGATGAATAAAATATTTTCAAAATAGTGTCAATTTTGTATAAGTGTCATTATACATATACATATATATATTTAGTATAGTAGTCATATATGCAATTCATCAATCAGTCAGTCAGTAAACATTTACTAAGTGCCTGCTCTGTGACAGGCACCGAGCTAAGCTCTGGGGATATAAAGAAAGGCAAAAGACAGTCTAAAGAAAGAGACAACATGTGAATAACTTGTGGTTGTTGTTTGTCCTTTGTTCTCTAAGAGGACCATGACATCAGGGAACTGATGCCATGATGTGCAAGTGAACTGGATTCAAGTGAGGAGGACTGTGCAAAGTCACCAGCCTCACTTTCTCCTCTGGAGCTGGGGGTTGTGGGACTTGGACCCCTAAAGGAAAGGACTATGTCTCTGGAAGCAAGACAGTCCCTGAACTTTCCTATACATTTTCAGCTGCCCAGATCAAAGGCATATGGCCCACTCCAACCCACTTGATTTCTTACTTAGCTTACTATTAGCTTACTTGATACATCTTAATCCCATATGGATCCTTTCATTGTTGCATCTGGCCCACCTCAGGCTATTTACATAATCCCATCCAAATCTTCTCACAGTCTTTTTTTTTTTGTATAAAAGTATAATTCTCACCCCCATCAAGCTCCAGATTCACTAGGAATCTCACCCACTTGCTACCTTGACTGAAAGAAGGCTTGAGTGCTTGAATACTTTCCAGGCAGACTCACCCTGTACCCTGATGTTTTAGGGTTCCTAGCACCCCAAATTGCATCAGAGCCATCTGAGTCCAGTGGCAAGATATAGATCAGAATAACTGGAGATGGCTCTCTGTGTACAACTATGTACCAACACATTTATGTGGAGGGTAAATTGGAGATAATCAACAGAGGGAAGGCTTCAGCATTAAAAGGAATCAGAAAGGCTTCTTATAGAAGGTGGTATTTTAGTAAGAATTGAAGGAAGCCAGGAAGTAGAAATGAAGAGGAAGAGAATTCTGGGTACGGGGAACAGACATTGAAAATAATCAGTGAAGAGATGGAGAGTCCTATGTGAGGGACAGCAAAGAGACCAGCATCATTGGATCACAGATGATGTGGAGTATATAAAAAGACTGGCAAGGTAGCAGGGCAGGGGAGCATCAGCTTATGAAGGTCTTTGAATATCAAGCAAAGGACTTTATACATGTTTGTGGGGGTAATAGGGAACCACTGTAATTTATTAAGTAGGAAACTGACATGTTCACACTTTGCTCAACCATTCATTACTGATAGAAACACGTGATCAAAAAAGCTTGAAAACCACTGGACTAGGTGATCTCAGAGGTCCCTTCCAATTCTGACAATTTATGACCTACAAATTTTGAAACAATTTATAACAGAGGGAGAATGGGTATATTGAGGAATAATACAGTTTAGTGGAGTGACTGTTAAGACAGCTATCAGTTCCGATGATGTGAGTGATGCAATGACAAAAACAACATAGGAATATTATAGTCAATTTCAAGCAAAAACAACATAAGTATTTGTATCAAATGTCATATACACACATTAGTGACATTTTTGCTTGCCTATTATAGCCCCATATTGTAGAAGGGGTTTTTCCTTTGCCACCACTCTATGTGCAAGGTGCTGTAAGCACTGCCCCCCATGGGGATACCTGAGGTATGAAATCAGAGACTGCGCCAGGTTCTGTGCTGCACTGTCGTAACACATTTTGTGGCAGCCTTTGGTGACATAGTCCCTGGAATATTTCCCACAAGGAAATTATAAAAGCATTGGCTGGGCACAAAAGCTCTTATGTCTTGTCCCAGACAAGAATCAGACAACTGTGGGCATGTATTTTTGTGGTTTTCGCTGAATGAAAGTGAAACCAAGAATGTGTAACCATGTGAGTTGCTGTTATTTGGGTGCTGAAGAGAGAATAAGGTCTTCACTGCTCTATCAGGGAGCAAGGACTCTTCATTCATCCACTTTGACATACATTCTGAGTATGGTTCCTGATTTCTCTACCAGTATGATAAGCTCTTTCCAGGTCAAAATTGGAGAACAGAAAGCCCTTCATAAAGGGAATTCTCATTCTAAAGTTTTAAAAAGTAGAATATGGGAAGTCAGTGGAATCAGACAGCTGAAATTGTTTCATACAATATCAGATCTCCATATAAAGCAAGCATTTTGACCTAAATGAAAGTTTATCTAATATTAATTTACACAATATTCTATTTAACAAGTTAATCAACAAACAATATGGAGTATCTCTATGTT